TATTTTTCATAAAAAAGGGTTGTCGCACTGAGAAAAATGTTTAGTCAGAGCAACCAAAATTTGGTTGGGCCAACAAAAAAATTTTGTTGGTATTTAAGCAACCAAACTCTTTGTTTGAGTCAACCGAAAAATTTGGTTGAGTGTTTTTTGTTGGCTTATTATTTCTTCTCCTTTTATCTTTTTTATTTATTTCATTATTTATTTATTATCAATTTGACATTGAATTTATATTTATCCAATTGAAATATTTGTGGACTTTGAAAAATCGCATATTCGCCTGGGATCGAACCTGTTTTAAAAGTGAAGGTCGGGAGTTCTGACCACTGGACTACCCATCCCTATGAGAAATTTAAACTAACTGTTCTCTTAAGCTATAAGCTGAGAGAAAATCAAATTATTTGGTTGTCGCAACCAAATTTTGGTTAGGACAACAAACGATTATTTGGTTTTTTTAGACCAAACTATTTTGTTGTGTTAACCAAATTATTTTGTTGTCGTAACCAAATTTTGGTTGGAATTTAAAAATGTTCAACCAAATAATTTGGTTGGCCTAACCAAATGTTTGGTTGAGATAACTCTACGACTTTGTTTCAGCCAACCAAAATTTGGTTACAAGAACCAAAATTGCCAAACCAAACAATTTTGTTGCAAACACTAAATTTTTGTTCTCAGTGCGAGGTCTTTCAATAAATAGTGCAATAGAAATTTTGGCTCTGGGTTATGCGGACGATTTTTTTTTCTCTCTGACACCCCAGTGGAACTTTCAAAAACTAGGTGTTCATTTCATAACCATTTAGCTTCCTCATCATGATACACTTATGTTCAAGATTAAAAGAAAGATTAGAACTAAAATAGCGATTAATTTTATAAATATTGGTAAAATGTAAACTTTATATACTGAGTAACTCCAGGTCAACCGTGTCAACAAATTTTCATTGATTTTCTAAAATGTTAAAACTTTTATGAAAATCTGTAGTTTATAATAAAACAGAAAAACACTTTTAACCGTTTTATAAAATTTTTAATTTTTGTTAGTTTTTTTGCATAAACAAAATTTTACAAAATTTTAAAGAAAAATTAATAACTCAACAATCGTTTGCAATAAATTAATGAAACTGATACTGATTATATAAAAAATTGCCTTCTTTTCAATGAATATAATTACAAAATTGTAAACCTAAAAATTCAATATTTTTAATAACTATTTACATTATTTATGTTTTCTACCCCTCTGATTGTGATGAAACTTAAATGAAGTGTACATGGCAGTCTCCTCTTTAAGTTCCAAAAAGAAAAAATTTTTATTTTCCACTAGAAGTATATTAAACGAATTTTTTTTTGTGACGCGCGCCAACCGCCGCGCCATATCACTCTAAAAAGGGTTGCTACAACCTACGCTGCACTTAGGCTTTAAGGAATCTAAAGAAAATGAAGCTAATAATATATATTTAAAATTTACAAATGCGGTGTCCGTTTTTCAAAATTCAAAATGGCGGATCCAATATGACCGACGACTTTTGAAAAAACTTAACGTATTCATCTGAAAATAGTTATTCGGGGGTGTTCTGAGTCGCTGATGACGAATCAGGTGTCCGTTTTTCAAAATTCAAAATGGCCGATCCAATATGGCTGAAGAATTTTAAAAAATCGTTCGGTATTGCTTAAAAATCGTTACTCGGGTGTTTTTGGGGTCGCTTATTACAAATCTGATGTTACTTTTTCAAAATTCAAAATGGCGGAACCAATTTGGCGAATATATTTTTTAAATTTGACGGTTATGCTTGAAACTCGTTATTTAGGGGTTTTCAAGGCCGCTTATTAGGAATCTGATATTAGTAAATTGTATTGATTTTGAATTTTTTCTTTCCGACATATTGGATCTGACATTTTAGATTTTGAAAAACTTACATCAGATTCGAAATCAGCGACCCCGAAAACCCCCGTGTGACGATTTTCAAGCGAATCCGAACGATTATTAAAAAAATCGTCCGCTATACTGGATGCGCCATCTTGAATTTTGAAAAACGGACACCGGATTCTTTATCAGTGCCCCCAAAAACCCCCGAGTAACGATTTTCAAGCAAATATGTTTAATTTTTAAAAATTTGTCCGACATATTGGATCTGCCATTTTGAATTTTCAAAAACTGACTTTAAATTCGTAATCAGCAACCCCGAAAACCCCCGAGTAACTATTTTTAAGGAAATATGTTTAATTTTGGAAAATTCGTCCGCCATATTGGATCCGTCTTTTTAAATTTTCCAAATCTGACGTCTAATTTGTAATCAGCGACCTCAAAAACCTAAGAATACCCAGTAATACTTAAATTAAAATAATTACTTTTTTTGTACTGTACAATTAAATTCGCCCTGTCGAAAAAGGTGCCACAACGCGACTTTTTGTGGGCTATTTATGTACCCTAGAGTACCCTAATGTACCCTAATATTACAATTATAATTTATAATTAAATTATTGAATATTTTGTTAATAATTCTTGTTTTTTATGGAATTTAAGCAGTTGGGTCCCTTTGACTCAGCTCAGGCACGAACGTCAAAAAATCAACTTAGGCACGTGAGGGTTAACAAAAGTCTATTTAACTGTGCATCAAGCTCAAGCACGTTTGGATGTTAGGCAGGTATAGCGCGCGTCACAATAAAAAATTCGTTTAATACACTTCTAGTGGAAAATACAAATTTTTTCTTTTTGGAACTTAAAGAGGAGACTGCCATGTACACTTCATTTAAGTTTCATCACAATCATCACACATGAATAATGAAAATTGTTATTAAAAATATTGAATTTTGTAGGTTTACAATTTTGTAATTATATTCATTGCCTGGTGTTACTCTACTTTAATCGATTCGTTTTCATGCCAGGAATATAATTTTGACAAGAATTTATTAAAATTTCTATATAAGAAAAAGTTATTTCAAAAAATACCAAAAACGATTTTTTTCAAAAATTCACAAAAATGATTTAATCTATAAATTTCAATAAAATATGAACTTTATATAGGTTAATCGACTCGTTTTAATGCAAGAAATAAATTTTTTTACCGAACAAAATTAAATTTACAAAGAAAAAAATATTTTGAAATAAGAAATATTTTTTCAAATTTTGAAAAAATTTAAAAAAATAAAATGTTGTCAATATATTCGGAAATCCTTGTGTCAGATTTTAGGTATTAATGACTACAATAAGCATACAAAATTTCAGGACAATCCGTTAAAACGTTTCTGAGATAAATTTTAATCTTTAGAATTTGGTAAAGATCGTATACCCACATAGCACGACTTCTTGCTGTGAAGTTACTATAAGGATATCTGTAGGGTTTGTGAGGTTACCGTGTAAGCCTACAGTGAACTTGAGGTCATCTTAAAACTTCCGCCATTACAGTAAACTTACACAGTAAAGCTAAGGTAAGCTTACACAGTAAGGTCGTGGTAAGTTTACATGGTAAGGTTGTAGTAAGCTTACACGGTAAGGTTATTGTAAATATAGAATGTTATTAATAAATTTTATTAATATTTAAGCGCAGTAGTTTTCTATGGCACATACGGCTGCGCAGTACATTTTATTTAACAAACCCTGTTAGAGTTCATGAAGTACTTTACCAAATATATATTTTTTAATAAAAAAAAATTTATAACATAATATAATTATTTTTAATATATTACTCTATGTTTACAGTAACCTTACAGTAACCTTACGGGAAGCTTACAAGATCCTTACCGTGTAAGCTTACCACAACCTTACCATGTAAGCTTACCTTAGCTTTACTGTGTAAGCTTACTGTAATGGCGGAAGTTTTAAGATGACCTCAAGTTTACACTGAAAGAAATTTTTCCTAATTATTGACATAATTCTTGCTGTTTCTGTCATATCGTATAACTGAATTAACATGGCACTGTTACTGCCATACAGTTTGGGTAATCCAACCAAACGAATAGTACTTCTAAAGAGCAAGATGTCTGAATCAGACTTCACATGGCTAATATAACCTAACTTACCTACCAATTTGACAGACTGTATAACCAATTCAACCAGAAATCTCAACCATAAGTTTATGGCTGAAATTTAGATAGCATTTCTTTCCGTGTACTGTAGGCTTACACGGTAACCTTAAAAACCCTACAGATATCCTTACAGAAACCTCACAGCAAGAAGTTGTGCTATGTAAGTAGAAGCTCAAAAAGTCAAAGTCTCTGGGGAGGTCATATTTCAAGCTTTTTAGTAGCTTAGCAGTGAGCACGCTTTTCTACGGTATTCAGTTATAAGGTTCGGGTCATTTGGAAGCAATTAATAAGGTTCAACTTTGGTTTTTAAAGCAACTACTTTTTTTACCTTTGAACACGCCGGATTGGGCGGTCAAAATTGTGATAGGTGCAATTCGTACAATACACACAATGAAAATTTACAATTCGCAATACACACTTAACTGTATTTTTGAAATTTCTCGTATGGATACTTCTAGATTCCCCAGATTGTATTTGAAAGACTGAAGGCTTTGGCTGCGGCGTCTCCTAATTGCCGAACAAACTAGTTTGTTCAATTAAATGTTTTTTCCACTCAACGAAACAACCTTGATAATGAGATTATCTGACCTTTTTGCAGCCGTGAAGAGGAATTTCTTCACCATATTTTGTTGAACTGTCCAGCGTGCACTCATTTATGCGATAGTTTTTTATCCAGGTCTCCTGCAAATCGGATGATGTGGACGGATGACAATATTTTTTCGTCGTCTAAGTCCCCACTACGTTAAAAATTTAAGTCACGGTGATTCATTATTTCAAAACAAATATCTAATAATACTTTTTATGGCTTTCTATATATATACATAGGAAAATTATTAAAAAAAGTTAACTTACTACTTCTTTCACTTAGGATTTTAACTATTTATATTCTACTGTCTAGTTTAATTTTTATTTATTTATTATGATTAATTTAATACATGATAATTTTATTTTATAAAATTTAAATTAATTTTTTAAGACTTTTTCAAAAACTAGTTTTTAATAACTGCGCTAAATATAAATGATGCTTTTTGCTTCCGCGTGGAGGAAGTTTTGTAGTCCTTTCGTTTATAAAATTTTTAAAAATGGTGAAAACACATTTTCCTCTATATAGAAACATGTTATATGAGATCCTGATCAATTATCCGGATGTATGTAAGTGTGTGTATGTGTGTGTGGATCGTTTTTGTGAACACGATAACTTTAACAGGTTTTAATGGATTTGGGTAAAATTTGGTAGGGTTATTTATCACATTAGTCTCTCAAAAATGACGAGAGGATTTTTAAAAATACCCCCAAAAAAAATTTTATCATCTTTTTTCCAATAAATTTTTTTTAATTGAAAAAATTTTTAAATAGAAAAATTTAATGTAATATATAATATAATCGTCTTCTTTACGTCAAGACAAAACGATTACTATATAAAAAGTATAGATTTGGTTAAAATTTAAAAAATTAATGAAAGTTAAAAAATTTAGCTAAAAAATGTTGTGTTTATTAAAATTCAAGTTTATATATGAAATAATTTTATTCACTGCATTAAAACAAATCGATTTGTATATATAAAGTACAGATTTAACTTAAATTTTAAGAATTAATAAAAATTGAAAAATCAAAAATCCATATCTTAGCTAAAAAATTTTATGTTTTTTTAAATTCAAGTTAATACATAAAATAATTGAATTCCTTGTATTGAAACAAATCGATTCGTATATATAAAGTATATGTTATACCCAAATGAATTGCAATTTTCTTAATTTTTCAATATATTTAATGAATTTAAATCATTTTTTAACTCGAAATGTTTTAAATCAATTAATTGAATTAGAGAAATTCATAGCCTCCTCCACGAGGAAGCAAATTTTTTGCTTCACACAAAGAGGAAGCAAAATGTTTATAAAATAAACATAAAGGACCCCCTCCGACCCCCTCCTTCCCTATTGAAAAATCCCATATAGGATTCTATATAGGATCCGATAAAATTTCCCAGAAAAAAAACTATATAAAATCCTTGAATCTTATAGGAATTTTTATAGGATCTCATATAAATTCCTATAAGAAAGTGAAACAGGATTTAATGTAGGAAATGACATAGGATAATTATATATAATTTCCTATATATATGTAGGAAATAATAAGGGAAATTATATAGGAAATTTTATGGGTAATTTCAATATAGATGTAGATCATTATAGTTCCACACTTACGCCGCCAGATGGTTATAATATTTTGTCTCTCACAGTTGAGATCAGTCTTGAATAGTATAAAAGCTAAGACTCTAACTCAGAAGATGTATTGCAAATCACAAATTTTTTTCTTTTTAGATGAATGCAGTAATATTATTTGATTTTTAATTAAATAATTTTTAATTTTTTAAAACAGCCGTCTGCATAAAGTATTCAACTGAAAATTCCCATATGAAATCCTATATTGTTTCCTTTATATAAATCCATATGAAATCATAGGTTTACATGAGATTTCTTATGAGATTCGACATGAGATTTTTCAAAGGAATTTTTTATGTATATAAGCAAAATAAAATTTCACCTAGGATACAATATGGGATTTGACATAAGAAAATTTTGATTAAGGTTATTTATTATGAATTATTGTATGTTTTTATACAGGAAATATCATAGGAAATTTATAAGGAATTGACATGGGGATATGACATAAGATTATGTGAGAGAAAATTTAGAGGAAATCACATAGGAATTCACATAATTTTTCAAAGGGATATGATAACTCCTATGTCACTTTCTACGTGCATCCTATATGGGGGTTTTCAATAGGGTTGTACGGTTGAGATATACACAAAATACATACTTTACACTATACACACTAAACATGGTCGAGGATCGAGTCCTACAAGTTAGCCCGCGAATTGTAAGATGATATTTCAAAGAATAAATTCAAAAAACTTTTTTTTGTTTAATTTTCATCGTTTACGTTACACTAGAACGAAATATACATTTTTAGAATTTATTATTTCAATAATTAACAATTTTTAAAATTTCTACCTCTTTCTATCTCTCTTTTTTCTATCTCTTTCTATTCCTTAAAATAGATAAGCGAAGAGATAGAAAAATAGAGATATAAAAGTTCTATCTCTTTCAAGTATCCATTCTGCACTTCCAAAACTGTATACCTTTTTATTAGAGGTGTGAATTCGAGCATATTAAACATAGAGATATAAGAATAGAGTGCGCAAGAGGCTCGAAAAAACGACAGATTATATGCGTTGGACAGAAAGAGACAGATGCGATTTGTAGGCCCTTTTCCCATCCTTGTTTCACTGATGTATCGGAGTTAGTAAGAGAAGAAGGAAGGCAGGGCCCACTAGTTGCATCTGTCTTCTTCTATTGGTTTATCGCAGCGAAACATGGAAATTGTACAGGCTTGCGCACTCTATTCTTATATCTCTATGGTATTAACCGTTCAATTTTTATTTTCTTGCAAAAACTACATATTTGAAATTACAAACTCATGAAAAAATAGCTTACAAACAATCGAATATTCAAATTCTCGAGTACTCGAAAATTTTCGAACTTTTTATACAGCTCGGCTCAAACTCGGCTCGAGCTCGAATTAATAATGCTCGGCTCGAAAAATCTCGACCGAGTTTCGAGCTTTTTGCACACCTCTACTTTTTATCTCTTCCGATTTTTTTAACAAAAAACTCAAAATTTTGATTAAAACACGTGCTATTTAAAAAAAATCGGTTTTTTCAAAATCCCCTACGTCTTTTCATAGATTTTGAGTTAGGTATAAACTAAAAAAAAATTTAGTTTTTTGTTCTGAGTCATAAACTAAAAAATATTTTCTACCGGCCGTACACGTCTGCATAAAAAAGGGTTTTTGTGGATCGACTGTCAGTGCGGCTATTTTAAATTTTTTATCTTTTGAAAATAATTTTTTAATAGTTTAATATGTACTTCACAGTAATATATAATTCATTTTTTAATTCATTTTATTTTGTTCTTTAAAAAAATCTTAAAAATGGGTCTGATTTTCGGTCTTACAGTGGTAGTCTTACAGTCTAACCCCTTAAGCCGTTTCATATAGGCCTAATTTCATATTCATAGCAAAAGCAGAGGTCGCAAAATTCCCGCTAATAATTTAATTTTTGCTATTTTAAAAATAGTTAGACGTTCTGTTTGTTGGATTTTTGAAATAAGGGGCCATTCATTAATTATGTAAGGACGATTTTGGCTAATTTTGACCCCCCCCCTACACTAATGTAAGGATACATAAGAATTTTCGGACCCCCCCTCCCCCTTGTTACGTAAGTTTTTAACAATATTAATGTAATTAAAAAATTAATTACAACAATACCCTTATGTAATTAATGAATGGTCCCTAACAGATCTCATTTTTAATGTACAAAATCGAAATAAATTGTTATCGATATACCATCACTAATCCAAAGCACTAAGAAACATTAACTATCTTTATATTCTAGATTTAATAACTTCAATAACATGACGATCCGGTTGCATTGCAAATATACTATACGAAGCATTTTTCAGATTTCTCTAAGCACAATACAGCGTAGAATATCAATTTTCCTTACGTTTTTATATACATGGTGTTCCAAAAGTATGGAAACTTGCAAATATCTCGAAAAGTAGGCATTTTCGTGACACTTCTTTTTTCACTGTTGGGTCCCGGGACCAATTTTTTGGCTTCAAAAATGTAGATATTTTGGGGGGACAACTTTAGTTTTGAAGATTTTTCATGAAAATGCAAACTTTTCGAGATATTTGCAAGTTTCCATACTTTTGGAACACCCTGTGTGTATGTAAAATATATAGGGGAAGTCCGGGGGAGTTGGCCATGCGGGAGAGATAGCCAATTCAAATATTTTATAGAATTTGCTGCTAGGTATCGCTTATTAAAGATTAGTTCGCCTTATTTTGTGGCAAAACACAATTAAAAGAAAAAAATTCACGAAAAATATTGAAAAAGTAAGTAAAAAAACTGATTTGTTATTTTGACTAGTTCTGAAAAAAGTGATGAGTTTACGTTTCTCACTGGTGTTTTGTTCTTTTATAGAATAATTTTGAATTTAATTTTTTTCTGTAAAGTACATGACCCAAGCTTTGTCATAAAGTTATATTTATTCAAAAGTTTTATTTATTTATTTAAATTTTAGTTGTGTCAATTTGTCTCCTGACATTAAGAGAGATGGCTATGTTTTTTCGAGTTGTTCAAAAACTGTGTTTCTGAGTGTTTTCAGTATTTTTTTCTCTTTAAACTGACGTGTTAGAGACTTCTATCTAGGCTTAAATTGAAGTTTAAAACGTACATTTTAAGACCCATATGCGCATAATAAAAAAAATTTTGATAAAATGGGGGTAATGACCCCAAAAATCTTTTTAAGTGACTTGAACCTAATTTTTTTCAAAATTTCAATTTTTTATCTTGCTCATTCCTATGTGTCTTAAAGTGTAAAATATGAGCTTTAATTTAAGCCTATATAAAAGTCTCTATCACGTCAGGTTAAGGAATAAAAATACTGAAAACACTCAAAAACACTGTTTTTGGAGACTTTACCTCCACTTTATTCGAAATCATGGTGTAATACGCAATTTTGGAACCCGGAATCGTGTTCAGAACACAAAAATAAATTGGAAACCATTCTGATATCTCAAAAAAACTCCTTGTAGCCTTGTTGTATCGGTGAGACAAACAGACAGACAGCGCTTATGAAAATTGCACTGTATTTAATCATAAATGTTCAAAATGTAGTCAGAAAAAGAAAAAAAGACTTTAATCCCTTTAAATTACAAATTTTGATAAAGCGAAAAGCTAAAAATTGATTTTAAAGTATTGGCCATCTCCCCCGTACATTCCGGGAGAGATGGCCAAACGCATTTCTTAAGAAATATTAATTTTAAGATTGTTTGCATTTAAAAAATTTCTCATTTCTATTATTTTTTGTAAGTTAAATGTTCAATGTTTAATTAGCAATAAAAGTTAATACATAAATCACTTTCTTTTTATTTTTACAGACCTTTAAAAAAACTATGGTCAACTCCCCCGGACTTACCCTAATTACTATTTTACTTCATAAAGGAATTTCATAAAAAATTTATTTATTATTGATCTGAAATCTGTATAACTGTACGTATGAACTTGACTACAAGAATAATAATAATTATAATAATTAATATTAATAAAATAATTATAATAATTAGGGATGTGCAAGAAATTGGAAACTCGACTGACAATGAGTTATTTCGAACTTTTCGTATTTCGAGCAGAATCGAGTCCAGCTTGATCAGTTTGAATTAAAGTCGAATTTAGTTTTCATTTTTTTCCCAAAATTTATAAAATTCTTATATGGTTAGAGTATTCAAACTTTTCGTATTATGGAACGAATTCGAGGATTCAAAAAATTTTTAAACTTGAATTGTTTTTTATTATTATCAAATCCTCTCAGAGAGAAAAAAAATTTTAAAAACTTAAGATTAAATTCTTGAACTTTTCGAATTCTCGAGTCTTTTATCGTGATTAATTTTTTTACTACTGTTTAACTTTTTCCTTTAATAATACATAAGTAAATGAGAAAAAACGTGCAAGACACGAAAAAAATACGTCTTTAATACAATTGATAAACACTCACGAGAAAACGAGACTTTTTGTTAATTATACAATTATACTCCATACGATGGAACCATTTTTTTTAAAACTATCATTTGATTTTAGACGCTGATCATCTTATGATTTAAATGTTTACAGTGTCGAAGAATATTTATTTATTTAATTACCATAGGCAATTATTATACCGGTGAAATAATTATTTTGTGCAGTGGACTCTACTAACGAAATATATATGTATAGTATTACAAGTTATTATTCCTTCTATTTTAAAGATTTTAAACACTGAATATTTTGTTTCATCCACATATATAATAACTAAAAAAAAAATAATATAAAGGATTTGAAAAAGTATACTTGAGATATTAAACTAAACCTAATTTAATCAGAAAATTCAAATCATGTTTATTGTCTTTTTTCCATTTTTATAAATAAGTCCTCCAAATAGCATACAAATGAGAGAGGATTGGTACGCACTTTACTAAAATTGTATGATTTTAAAATTATTTTATAACATGTAAAATTACTTTTAAAAACATAAAATCTTTTAACAACTAAAAGTAGAAATTAAAATCTTATTTCAAAAATGTATTGAGAAAAACAAATAATTGTTTTCATAATTACGCCAATTAACCTTTGAGCCTTTTGCTTTATTTATTAATGCATCATCAAAGAATTAAAACATTCGTTATTCATTATAACATATTTACTGCCCGATTCCATCTAAAGCATAAATTTTTAAGTTTTCAAACTTACAAAACCTAGTCTTGGTCTTAGAATTACAAAAGACATTATTTTTGGCAGTTTTTTATGTAAAATTATTTAAAATATCAAAGTCTATTTATAAATACCACACTTTAATTTTTATCTCTTGTACGTTTAAAGGAATTTTTTCATAATAAGTTCATTTCTATGAGAAAAGATAAAGTTCTTTTTTTTAATAGATCGCGAAGTAATTTAGTTTTAAAATTATATAAAAATAAAAATATTTTTTAGTAAATTATTATTATGTTATGTTAATCGACTTTCTCGAGATTAAAGTCGACAAGATCGACTTTGTTCGTTCGACTTTCGACATAGTTTGACGGTTGACAAATTCAAGTTGTTCAAGTTTTTCTCAGAAGCATATGCCTGAAGTTATAAACGTTTAAATGAAAGAAATATATTTTTTTAAATTTACTACATCAATGAAAATAAAAAGTTACATTTAAAATTCAATAAGTTATTCACTTATTTTTCGATACAGAAACCAATATTTTATAAAAAATTTGAAGTTAAAACAGTGGTAAATAAATTTTTCGTTCATTTGAACGTTCAGAACTTTAGTCACATTCAGAAGCATTGATCCAGACATATATTTTGATGACAATTAATCTTTTTTTTGTTTTTAAAAATATTAAATGTTTAACACCGCATTAAAATTTTTCCGTTTTACTTCCCGGGTAGAAATTTTGTCATGGTCTAAACCTGGCCAAATCTGGCATCCATAAAATTGACATGAAATGCCTTACCTGATTTGGGCTACAAGATAAAGTCACATTTTGACGCTTCCCAGGTCTGGCCCATATTGGGTGAGGCGTTTCAATCCATTTTTGGGCCAAATATGGCAATTTCTACACGGGTTCTACGCTGTGACAAAATGTGATAAAAAAAAGACTAATTTAACAGTAATTTTATTTTAAAAAAAGTATCACTGTAAAAATATATGCTATCCTTTACATTTCAATATTAAGAATTAATTTTGAGTATAAAAAAAATTTATCTAATTTTACTTGTAAATGTTTAGATTTTATACACTACAAAACATTTAAAAAAATTTTTTTACTAATAAGTATGTTAAAAAAATTGTTATCTAAGGAAAAACACTTATTTTAAATTCATTTAGTTAATTTCACGTTTATTATATAGGTATACTTTACAAAAAGTAATTTTTTTAAAATTATGTATTTAAAAGTCGGTAAAAGTCGATCGAAGTCGACTTCTTGACTCGATTAATCGACTTTTAAAGTCGAGAAATATAAAGTCGATTGTGAAGTAGAAAATCGACTTTTAATTTCTCTTTTCTATCCCTAATAGGTCCATTGAAAATTTCGCTGGTGAAAAATAAAACTTCTTAATATTCATTGCTTTAAAAAAATAACTGACAATTAACGATAATTTTAAAACAGTAGTTTTTGTAGAAGATTAATATAACTTCTTGGCATTGCGTTGTTTACAAATAATTTCTTCAAATACTTTAAAAAAGTTTTAGAAATTGCCGATGGAAAAATGGTTTTTCTCAACATTTCATTTTTTATGAGGGACTATACTTCAATTACGTAATGCTTCATAGGGGAGGGGAGTCAAGCAATTTGTTACACACAGCAAAAAAATGGCGCTAATGTATACAAAAATCTGTTACATAGGAAGGGAGGGGGTTCAATTTTCAAAGAAAAAGCGTTACGTAATTAAAGTATGGTCCCTGAGGAGAAACAAAAAAGTAGATAATGACAAATTTTAAACAACCCATCGATTAATATACCTGAACTTCCCAGGTCAAAACTTAGAAGTTATTAAACTGGCTTGTAACTTTTGTAAATTGTTGTTCTATATAAGAGTAACAAATCCCTAAAATATTAGCTCATTTTAAAATTTTTTTTTAAAAGTAGTGAAGGTGTAAGTTTTGACGTTTTAAGGCGCTCTCACACCTTTTTGGCTGCCTGCAGGTTACCATGGCAACGCATGAGAGTGAGTGCGACAGAAAATTTAAAAATTTGAATATTCAAATTTTCTGACTCACTCACACTCGTGCGTTGCCATGGTAACCTGCAGGCAGGCAGGCAGCCAAAAAGGTGTGAGTGCGCCCCGGCGAGACTAAGGTTCAATTTTGTAACACCGTGACTAAGGTAGGGTAAATTTTACCCTATAATGATTTTCTGTTTCTATATTTAAGAAAAGCTTAAAATCATGGAAATTTTTTAACAAATTTGTTTTATATTGTCTAGTAATGTAATTTATTAGTGTCACAACAAAATTTGAATTTATATAAAAATCGCAGTAAAATTCAGCATTCCTAGTTCAAACTATCGAGGAATAAAAGTTTCATAGGGTAAAATTTACCCTACCTTAGACACGGCGGGTTAAATAGAAAAATTTAAGGTTATATATAATAAAATCTTACGTCAAGATAAATCGATCGGTATATATAAAGTATAGTTTTAATTTAAATTTAGAGAATTAATGAAAGTTAAAAAATCGAAAATTCACATTTTGGCTATAAAATTTTGTGATTATTTAAATTTAAGTTTATAGATGAAATAATTGTCTTCCTTGCATGAAAATGAATCGATTGGTATATATACAGTTTACATTTAAAGTAAATTTAATAAATTAATAGAGAGAAGATATCTTTTTAATTTTGTGGCCTATTGGCTTATATTTAATGTGTCACATGTCAAAAACGTGACAAAAAAACTTGTTTTTCTATTAATTAAGGAAATGTCTTTTATATTTGTTATATATTTTTTACACACGTTTTTTATATATTTTTACACATGATTTTATTGATACACAATGGTTTTTATTTTCCGTATGACTTCTCTTGATTTCTTTTTTGTAAGAAGTTTTGACAAACCCTTTTGAGGTTATGTAAAAAATTTTTTCAAATGTTTTTCAAAAAAACCTGGTATGTACACCATTAAATAGTTTGCCAAAATGTTTCTCGTAGAAACTTATGTATTCTATTGGCTTTTTACAGATTATTTATCTTGCTTTGTTTTTTCTGATGAGGATACAGAATACTGTGTCGAAACGCGTCAAATTTTGATGTAATTAAATAAGTATAAGCTAATAGGCCACAAAATTAAGAAGACATCTTCTCTCTATTAAAAATGGCTTAAAATAAAGAAGTATTTACTTCATACATTAATAAATTAATGAAAGTTAAAAAATAAAAAATTCACATTTTAGCTGAAAAATTTTGTATTTATTTAAATTCAAGTTTAAATATAAAATAATTGTGTTCCTTGTATTGAAACGAATCTATATAATTGTAAATAATTATAAATTATATATTATTTTTTATTAATTTTTAGAAATTTCAGCTAAAATGTGAATTTTTGATTTCTTAACTTCCATTAATTCTTTAAATTTAACTCAAATCTGTAGGTACTCAAATGTTTATATTATTATATTATTTTTGTATGTTTATTTCAATGTTGATGCTTTCTCCACGAGGAAGCAAAATGTTCATGTAATGAACATCGGAATTTACAACTTGTTATTATTTTTTTAAATATTTTTGCAATTGAATTGTTTAATATAAAATTTTCTTTTTTAAAATAGTGAATAAAATGTAAGCTTAAATTAAATGAAAAAAAAAATTGTAAAATCCGATTAATCTTATGTTGTCATGTCAACAAATAAAAATTTTAGTTATCTATTACTTCTGGCCAGCACCAAACCTGGGTCCAGCTAGACCTTCCAGACCAGCATCGCTAGACACAGTCTAGAAATTACAAAATGAAAATTTTCTGTTATTTATTACCTTTGGTCAGCACCAGAGTTGGGTCTTCCAGACCAGCATCGCTAGATACAGTCAAGAAATTCCAAATTAAAAATTTTTAGTTATCTGGACCTTTTGCCCAGCACCAGATTTCGGTCTGACTAGACTCTCCAGACCAGCGAGGCTATTCAGGGTCTGACTAGTGTTTGAGTACTACCAGAACTGGATTAAGCCAAACCTTCCAGACTAGCGATGCTAGACGTTTTTTAGATTGCGCTAGGCTTGACTATAGACGTTCCAGAAGATTTTTCTACACGGGAAAATTATTTGATATAAATAATGTATCTTTTAATGCCAATATACATTATTTTATCAAAACAAATAAAAAAATATTTAGACCAAATAAACATTAAGAAGGGAAACTCGTGTAAAAATTTTTTTTTTACAATTTTTCTATTTTGCTTTAAAAATTAGTTTATTATCTATAGAATATGATCCTACATTACTAATCTATATTTAGATGTATGAATGTCTATAGTATTCATAAGTTTAGCACTACAAATGCTATCAAATGTAGCTAACGATGAGCACGAAATCTCTCTATTCTTTCGGTTTCTTCCCAGTGTGCACACCCTGTAACTGTTCTAGAATGGTTATTGAAATAAAGAACTAATCTAGAACAGTTACAGGTTGTGCACACTGGGTTGTCAATAAAATTTTATTAATTGTCATTAACAAGGACCATAAGCAAGTGATAGTAAATCTTGGTTTTAGTGCTATTGTTATTTTCGATTACATAACGTTTTTAAGGCAATACTTAAAACACTATTTTTTTGTATCGAAAACTTTAAACGCGTTTAAAGTGTTTTTTCGCGCGCCGTGCAATGCAGCTCAGACAATTTTTAACCGATTTTCATGAAATTTACCAGAAATCTTCTTTAACTTACTGGCTATTGCATGACGAAATGACGAAAAAAATTTTTTTAAACAATTTAGTTTTTAGATTGTTTATAAAAAAAATTGATTTTTTTTTAAAATGGTGGGGCGCATGATTATTTCATAATGTGAAACATTTAGAAATTTAATTTTATAGAATTTTACTTTATTCGAATTTGTGTTTTTTGAATTAACGTTGAATAGAATTTAAATTAACCAGAATTTATACATAAACAACAAATGTTTAGAGTTCAAAACTTGATATTTGAGCTTTTCCAAAAATAAGTTTTTAAAGAGGTAGAGGAAGGTGGGGTAATGGGAGCTTTTAAATTTCAAGTACACAGAGACTTTGAATTTCGTGGAAATAACTCGGAAAACTTGAATAATCTTCCTGTATGTCATACGAAGAAAAGTGGTAACATTTCTAAAAGATTTATAGAAACTACAAGGAAAAATCAAGTTTTCGAGTTTTTCTTCTTAAATGCAAAATCTTTCTGGAGATCAAAGTAAATAGTTAAAAATTTATTATTTAATTATGTTTTGTGATTTTATTAGAGATAAATATGTGTAGATTTAGATACATGAATAAAAATAGAGGTAATAATTAAATTTGTTTTTCATCTTTTTTTTCAAATTGTGACCTCTGAAAATTCTTTGGAGTAATTGAAGAATTGTGCCAGCCAGCAGAGTTTCGTTACCTCGATATGACTTTTCTTATTTTTTTGAAAATTAAAGAAGATTCATTTATGAAATTTGATATTGTTGCATATTTAATTGCTAAGAATCAATATTTGTATTTTAATGTCTAAAATGTGTTATTATTGAATATTTTAATACTAAAGAAGCTGTAGGTCTTTTTTATGTCTTAAATATTTTGTAAAAATATGTAAATATTGTAAAAATCTGTCGAGAACTATTGACAAAATAAGAAAAATATCTAAAGAAAATATAAATTATATAATTTTATTGGAATTTCAAGTGAGAGCTCCCAATACCCCACAGGTGGGGTAATGGGAGAAAATGCAAACTTACTTTTTTGTTCTTAATTTCTAATTAATTATAATTAAAGGTAAATAACAAAAGGAGTAAAAAATGATCAAAACAATATTTTATTATAAAAATAAGTTGGTTTTTTTAATCATTGTCCTTAAGGGACTCCAATTTCCCCACCTTCCCCTAACATAAAAAAAATGAAGAAGTTAAAAATTTACTCTGGAGTACCAAAATTAGTTATTTTAATTTATACTTCACAATAATGAATGAATATTAATTAAATTGTGTACAAACTTACAGTTCATCAAACGAAGCTGAAGTGCGCAATGTTTATGATAAACGATTTTGAAAGAAATAATTTTTTAAAATGAAAAATTCTATAATTTTTTTCTTAAAAATTATTTTTTGTAGATTTCATTAATTAACAAATTATAAAAAAATATTTTATAGGCAAAAAATTATAGAATTTTTCATTTTAAAAATTATTTCTTTAAAAATCGTTTATCATAAACGTTGCGTACTTCAGCTTCGTCTTCATTAAGTTTTTTAACTTAAGTGGAGGGAAAAATTGATTCAACTTAAAACTTTTGAATACACTCAAGTGTGCCAAGCAACCCCTGCGCCAAACAGCCCAAATGTTTCAAATTTCCCTATTTGCAAATTAAAATCGATAAAATTTTGAGATAGTTATGTGGATTTTAAAATGCCAATTTCACTTAATTCATTAAAACTTCCACACTTTCTACAAATTTTTTTTAACATGAGCTAATATTTTAGAGATTTGTTACTCTTATATAGGGCAACAATTCTCAAAAGTTAAAAGCCAGTTCAATAACTTCTAACTTTTAACCAGGACAGTTCAGGAATTTTCCCCCATATGATAATTTTGAACTTTTTAAATATGTATGTTCAAGGCATCGACATTATTTTCAAATGTGAAAACAAATATTTCAATTCGTTTATAATTTAAAAAGCATATATTGTGATTACATTATTTGTGTTGTGCACGCAGAAAAATGGTTGAAATTGAAATTCGGTGAATTCTAGGGAACGATTCAATAAATTGGTTACGGCAACTATTTCTTGAACAGTGCAACCACCATTAGAAATTTTTGGTTCGCGCTCCAAAATCTGACGAATCGAATATAACTTTCCCATTTAAAGTTATCTCATGTGGAATTAAATTGTGCACGACTTTATCGAAGTAGTGACAACTTAGACGAAAATTTTAATCTCAATCAGTTTAATAATTATTTTTAATTTAATCGGTTGGCAATTTGAAATTATGTTAATGAATTGAATACCGTGAAAAAGTCAATTCCAGATTCACACCACTATATGTGTTGGTAATTAACCGAATTAGAAACATCTACACTTTTGCATGCAACTGTATGTATTTCATATATAGTTTATTGAAAAGTCTTCTGTACATATATATTTTACTGCTCTCGGCGCATTACAAGCCTTTTACATATGATTATCTCATGAGCTTAATATTCGTCCCATTAACTGCCCATCTGTCACGATTCGAAAATAAATATCATTAATAGAAAAAAAATATATCTGAAATAAGTAAATTCAATTGAAATTCCATGGAACGATAGGAAAGAATTCGAAAAATATAAATATTGTTTTTCTTAGCAGGTATTTATTTTTTTATAATTCCAAATTAAACCATAAACTTTGAAATTTATTTAGAAGGACTTATTTGATAAGCTGCGCTGTGATATTTTCTTTCCGTTTCATTTTCGACGTAAATGAATAAATACAAATCAGTCAATGATTTGTACATGAGAGAGAACAGCTTTTAATAATACGTCAAAGAAAAAAGAAAATTGGCAGTTAATAAGATAAAGCTAACGATTTTTAGCCTATCCAATGTTAACGTGTGTCTACACTATGAAATCACTCGATTAATTAAATATAAATAAAATTTTCTTTAGAGTCTTCGCGTTATCTTTTTCGAGCTAGAAATCGTTAAAGGTTGCCCATTTTTTAAATATTAATGTTCCTTGACTATCACGATAATTAATATTTACCATGAGGAATGCGCAAGCGCAATCCCTGCGAATCTTGATTCTTTCTCCTCATTTTTACAGTTTATGAGCAAATAATAACTATTGACGATATTGAATGTAATTCTTGTTCAGTTAACGGCATTCGATATTCATGGCTAAAGATACGTCGACACTCTATTCAACTTTCTTTAAACTCTCGAAAACTTTTAAGATTGCTAGGAATTTGTTGAGGAGAAAATTACTTTCTCTTTACTTTAATTTTCCTTTTTTCCCTTCAAGAACTTTGTTAGATTTGTCAACTTCAAATGATCGATGTTTGGATTCTATATCGTTTTAAGCTACTTACTGCATTCGTTCTTGTGAAACTAAATACCACCGGTAAATAGTTTTTTAAAAATATCGCTGTTGTGAAAGTCTTCGCAAAATCGTTCTTCGTCGTGGTTTCGTCTTCTTTTGTTACCACCTTCTATGGCTTTCTCAAAAAATCTCTTTTCCTTTTTTAAACTAATAATTCACAAATTTGGTGTACAGAAAAAAGACCCACTCAGATATACTCTTATTACACAATTCCGCTTGATAATTCGTTTGTTGAAAAAACAAACTTTTGCCACAGACGGTGCTCGATAATTCGAAGCTGGTAACTCACGTAATGCGAACTGTTCTTAAGCGATGTCAGAAGAAAGTCAGCGCAACAGTCAACACGACAGCCTTTTGAACACCATGGAGTTGTGGGCGGATGGATTAACACAAGTTTGCTACGACACCATCTCATTCCATCCACTACCATTTGATGAATTGCTCTCTGGTACAGCTAGAAAAAGAAGAGTACAAAATATTATATAATAATAAAATGCTTGGTCTGTTATTCTGTCATAACTTGAAGTTGGTCTTTACTGATATCACCTGTTTTTTCAATTGTAATGTTATGACGTGTCAAATTTGCGTCAAATTTTGACAATTCTTATTCTCATTTTTGCCAAATTTGTATAATTGTGTTTCCAAATTTCGGAATTAGTTTCTTTAAATTTCCAAATTCAAAATTAAAAATTCAATTCACAAAGCTAAAATACAAACCGTTTATCAACGAAATTTTTTTTAAAGTTGTATATTAAGCCTAAATTACATATATTTATTGTAGGCAGAATATTTAAACCATTTTTCAGATAAATATTCCGCCTATGTTAAATATATGTAATTTAGACGTAATATTTAACTTTTTTAAAAAAAAGTTTTTTTTGATAAACGTTGCGTACTTCAGCTTCGTTTTAATTATATTAAATATGAATTCACTAGTTAAATTTCAATTTTTTGAGTTTAAAAAAAAGTGGGTTCACTAATTTGCAAATATCTCCGAATGTAGTTGACCGATTTCAATTTTCTTTGAAGCCAATTAAAAATGATTAAATTTCCAATAAACACGAATTTATAACATTTTTTAATCAGATTGACGGTTTATGAGATATTTACGAATTTGTCTAGAATTGCACATTATTTTTAACAAATTTTTAGAAAACGATTGACTTTCCTTGTAAATTGCCTCATAAAAAACAAAAAGTATAGAAGATATAAGCACTTCAGCACACCTATCTTTAACGAAGAAAAAGTTGGTCCCCGATGCCGAAAAAAAACTCATAACTTTCCAGAAAACTTCTTTGGACCTTAATGAACAACTTTCTCACTGGAAGTTTGATGCTGGTGAAAATTTACGAAAATTCCTCACAGGGTGAAAATTGCAGTTCATGAATTTTGCAATGTCTCATTAAAAAATTAATAACTTTTTTATTTTTAATCAAAACAACTTTTTTATTTTTTTAGTCGCTCGTAGAATATAATAACACATATTTTCGTTTTTGTTTCATTAAGAAATTCGTAAAATTGTCTGAGCTGTCGCGAGTTGAAGTCAAAAAAACAATGAAAATTTTATTTATTTTAAAAACAGTTTTTCTCTTATATTTCGAAAACGGAAAAAGATGGAAAAGGCCGTAGCCGGATAAGCAGGGTCCTGCGGCCCCCGCTCAAATTTCGTCGATATTTACAGGATCAATTAGTCTCAGTATGAAACTTTTTTTCGCCAAGTTTCAACTTCTAAAAATAATTTTGAAAAAAGTTATGGCATTTTTAAAAAAAAATTAAAAATTGGATTTTCTCTTAAGCGTTTATAGTTTTTTAATCGGGTAAAAAATATGTTATAGGGGAAGCAAAAATGCATCTAACAAAAATTTGGCGACCATTTTTGTGCAGTGGAAGAGTTAAAAAAAATATTTTTTTAATGTTTATATTTTTTAAAAATATTAATTGACTTGGCACAATCACCATATTTTTTTCCTACATTCTTTAACATCCAAGAAGCAACATATTTTTTTGGCAGCTCGATCTGAGGGGTACTTGCCCGTTAAAATTTAAAAAAACTTATTTTTGGCCCCTAAAATGTATGGTATCTCTTGAAAATGGGAGGCCAACATCACCGGGCAAAGAAAATGTTAAAAAGGAAGCAAAAATGCATCTAACAAAAATTTGGCGACCATTTTTGTGCAGTGGAAGAGTTAAAAAAAATATTTTTTTAATGTTTATATTTTTTAAAAATATTAATTGACTTGGCACAATCACCATATTTTTTTCCTACATTCTTTAACATCCAAGAAGCAACATATTTTTTTGGCAGCTCGATCTGAGGGGTACTTGCCCGTTAAAATTTAAAAAAACTTATTTTTGGCCCCTAAAATGTATGGTATCTCTTGAAAATGGGAGGCCAACATCACCGGGCAAAGAAAATGTTAAAAAGGAAGCAAAAATGCATCTAACAAAAATTTGGCGACCATTTTTGTGTAGTGGAAGGGGTAAAAAAAATTTTTTTTTTACTTTTTATATTTTTTAAAAATATTAATTGACTTGGCACAATCACCATATTTTTTTCCTACATTTTTTAACATCCAAGAAGCAACATATTTTTTTGGCACCATGATCTGAAGGGTACTTGCCAGTTAAAATTTAAAAAAACTGATTTTTGGCCTTTAAAATGCATGGTATCTCATGAAAATGGGGGGCCAACATAACCGAGCAAAAAATATGTTAAAAGGACAGCAAAAATGCATTTAAAAAAATGGAAAGAGCGTTAAAAGTACTTATTGATCGTCTCGAATACCCTATTTGTCTGTTTACACTATGAAAAATAATTTTGTACTGCTGATATTTGTCAGTTAATGGAAAATGTAAACTTCTAATTTTTTGACGATAATCAAATTTTGTTCATCAAAGTAATTTACATTTTCCACATAATTCTGTCCAAGGTACACTACGCGGAAGTTATCAGTCAGATTTGTACCTCTTTTTGTATTTTTTAAAAATATTTTTTAAATTTTTTTAAATTTTTTTTTCATTTTGAATTTTATAAAAATATAACATATATACATTATTCACACTATATACAAATCGGATTTTTTTATTTTTATATATTTTTAAAAAGAATTTTAACTAATATTCTTTTAAAATCCAGAACGTTATAGATAGAGCAACGACATTCGAAAAAAATTAATCCTCGTCGCTATCTTCTTCTATAACTGCGTTAAAATGTTCTTTTACGAATAATTTGCTAAGAATCTGAGCAGGTCTTAAGATTTTAGTCAAATACCTAGCATGAGAAAGGTAGTAAATAACTGTAGCTATATGCGAGCAACAGCCGACAGTTCTTCGACCGTTTGCGCATTCACAAGCATAACGTCTGATACCTGAAACACCTATTCCATTTCGCACATACTCTACATAACACCTGTAAACTTTCCGTGAAATGTGTCGAGACTTAATTAAAATTTTCAAAATGTTGGTTTGATCTTTAACGAATTGCAAATTAATTGTTCCATCGTCATTCATCATTTCAGCTAAATATGAAATAGCTTGTGATAGCTGGTATGTGCCTGTAAATAAGATTTTCAAATCTTTTTCAGTCAATTCCGGAAAATCAATAATATCTTCAGATGAAGCATTCTCAAACGGAAGTTTTTTCCGATTCCACCCTTTCTCCTCAACTTCGTCAGCTAGGGTGTTTACAACATTTCTTTGAGTTTTCATTCTCAGAATAATTTCTTCTGAAAAATCAAAATCAGATTGCAGTTTCTTGCCAAACTGATTTTCTCTTTTAATGCTGGCATCAAAACATTGTAACCCTCAGATTCCAAGAAATTTTTCACGTCTCGAAATCCACGATCGACAAAGAAAATATCTCCTGGCTTCATTAATGAACTGAGTCCATTAGGATCACTAATGACATTTTCCATTATCGAGGCGTCATTCTCGGTGGCATGATAAGGGCCAAGCATGTCAAGGACTCTTCCAGTTGTTATACAAACCGTAAATGGTTTACAGAGAGGAACTTTTTTTTGGCCGGAATATGACTTCCTTTGATACTCATTGTTTTTACTTTTCTGGTGACGGGCATAAGTTCCATCACAAATTATCATTAGCTTGTCAGTGCAGTCGTACAGCTTTTTTGCCATATCACTGGTATGATATGAAATAAGATCAACCCTTGATAAAGCCTTTATACCAAATCGTGTTGGAAGTACATCTTTTTCAAAAGATTTCATTACCGCTCCAGAATATTCTGATACCAACTGCTCTTGGTCAAATTGAAGCATTGCAGAGCACAGTTTGTTTGAATTTCCCGTTCGTAATTTTAACAAAAATATTACGAGAGCCTGTGTTACTGTACGAGTTTGGGTATCTCTCATTGATGTCATCATTTCACACAATTCAATAATATTTTCCCACGTCAAACCAGTAAATATAAATAACTTTTCTTCTGGTAAAGAAAAATCACCTATCATGTCAAGAATTGTAGTATCACATCTGATACTTAAACATTCGATAAATTCGGATAATTCGGAGATTTTTATTTCAGAAGAATTAGAATAAACTTGTAAACGATTTAAATCTTCCTCGAAAAAACGTTCCTTAATCAGATGTTCTGAACAACATCGATTGTTTTCTGGAATATAAATTCGAAGTTTGACAAAGGATTGGATTCTTGCTGGTCGTGGAACTACTACTTAACTGTTTGGACGAATTGCATATAAAACAATATTTATGCGTAGAAACAGTTCTTGAAAATGGCATAGTAGCGTATTCCTGAATAGATTTTTTTCTTTGAGGCGGTATTTTTAATTCAAAATTCGAATCATCTGTATCTGATGACAATGAAGAAGTATCACTTTCAGGAATAGATTCTTCCGAAATATTGTTTTCGCAACTTCCAAGCTCAAAATCATTGTTTATATCGTTTAATTTTCTTTTCTTATAAGTCTTAATGCGACAAGCACTACATAATATGTCTTGGACATCAATTTTCTTCTTGAAAATCAAAGAAAAATTGTCTGCTTCATCTTGAGTTACAACTACTTTTTTGGTACCAGATACTTTTTTGAGAAACCTACAGCAAGCAGCACATACAGGATTCATTACTTTACCTGAAGACATCATGAATAAACAATGTTTTAAGTAAACTGGAAATCAACTTTTATATTAAATGTATATTTACGATCCTATTTTTTAGTGCATTGTATTAGACACTCATAGTTGTATATTACTTATAATTAGACTTATATATATATATTAAGGTTAATCTTAAATTAAATGATTCTTGGAAATCAACATAGTCTTAATTTAAAGTGAGCCTTGTATGAATTTAAGGTACTCATAAATCTGAATTTACAGAGTGTTTGAAATTCAACTCCCTTTGAGTCTTAATTTATAAAAGCTAAGTCTTAAATTCAGCTTGGGGCTGCTGCTTTTACCAAAAAATTGCCTTCAATATAGCACATAAAAAGTTCTGAAAATCAGCTTACATACTCCCTTTTTAAAATCAACAATGCCTGTCTTAAAAATGTTGCGTCTTAAAATAAGACTTAATTCCGCCCTTAAAATAAGATTCTCTTTTTACTGTGTTCAGTTTCACTCATAAAGCTGCCAAAAGAAGGCACACATTTGCACGTAAAAAAGAAGGAAAGAAAAAATAGGGCGATTGTGCCAAGTCAATTAAAAATTTTAAAAGAAAGTAAGAAGTAAAATATATTCTTACACCTTCCACTGCAGAAAATTGAACACCAAATTTTTTTTAAATGCATTTTTGCTGTCCTTTTAACATATTTTTTGCTCGGTTATGTTGGCCTCCCATTTTCAAGAGATACCATACATTTTAGGGGCCAAAAATAAGTTTTTTTAAATTTTAACTGGCAAGTACCCTTCAGATCATGGTGCCAAAAAAATATGTTGCTTCTTGGATGTTAAAAAATGTAGGAAAAAAATATGGTGATTGTGCCAAGTCAATTAATATTTTTAAAAAATATAAACATTAAAAAAAATATTTTTTTTAACTCTTCCACTGCACAAAAATGGTCGCCAAATTTTTGTTAGATGCATTTTTGCTTCCCCTATAACATATTTTTTACCCGATTAAAAAACTATAAACGCTTAAGAGAAAATCCAATTTTTAATTTTTTTTTAAAAATGCCATAACTTTTTTCAAAATTATTTTTAGAAGTTGAAACTTGGCGAAAAAAAGTTTCATACTGAGACTAATTGATCCTGTAAATATCGACGAAATTTGAGCGGGGGCCGCAGGACCCTGCTTATCCGGCTACGGCCTTTCTTATTAAGAAAAAAAGATGCATCTTTTAATTTTCTATAAGGTAATATATTTAAAAAATTAAAATTTTGAATTTCAATTTTATTGACATTTTCGTACGCTGACTGGCTTCCGAGCGTCCGGCCCGAGCTCGCGACCGGTTGTTCGATTGGGTGCCTCAATTTTTGGGGATGAAAGTTGGATGATCAATATTGTAATTTTAAATCCGCACTGTCAACAAAAATAATAAGTGTGTATTTTCCATAGAACACCGCAGATGCAAACATTAGATTATCCAAATTTTCCATCACTTCTTATTCTTATTAATATACGCAACATTAGTTACTGCTATTAGAATTTGTATTTGTATCGTGTAAGAAAATAAATGATAACAAGTTGGCTAAAATTGATTCAAAGTTTTGTAGATGTAGTTGATTTATTTTTAATCTATTTAAAAATGACTTATTACTACAAGTTAAATCACGCCTGTTGTCATGATTGAAATATAAAAAAATTTGTGCCTTTGTGTGGTAGAAAAATTGTTTGCAAAGACGGTAATTTAGAAACTTTTTTCATCACAGTAAACCAAGAAAAGCTGATCAAAACTTATGAGAATAGAAATTTTTCTTGAAATAATTCAAAATTTTGTATCGAGCATGTGTGTATATTTATACACACATGTGTATTTATGTTTATATTTCACAAACAATATTATCTGAACTTATCAACGGCAATTCTATCGTTGGAAATTTCAAATTACTTAAAGAAAAACTTTTATTCATAAAAGTTTGAAAGATCTTTTTATGACTTTCTGTGAAGAAAAAAATTTATAAATTACCGTCTTTGCAAACAATTTTTTTACCACATAAGGTACAAACTTTCTATTTTAATCATGACAAAACGCGTGATTAAAAATAAATCAACTACAAAACTCTACAAAACTTTTAACTAATTTTAGCCAACTTGTTATCATTTAATTTCTTACACGATACAAATACAAATTCCAATAGCAGTAACTAATGTTGCGTATATTAATAAGAATAAGAAGTGATAGAAAATTTGGATAATCTAATGTTTGCATCTGCGGTGTTCTATGGAAAATACTCTCCTATTATTTTTGTTGACAGTGCGGATTTAAGATTACAATATTGATCATCCAACTTTCATTCCCAAAAATTATAGTTATGTATTATTATTATTTTTACATTTAATAAGTATAAAAAGATTGCACTAGTAATTTCAACTGATCTGCACATCGTAATGAAGCAATTTTTCATTATAATGCATAAAAAAACAATAAATACATAAAAAGGCATGCAGGAGGATCGGTTACGATTTTGAATCTTTGAAATTTTGTTCATTTAGTGTTCAGAGATTCAAAATATATGAGTTTTTTTTCGGCATCAGGGACCAACTTTTTCTTCATTTAAGACAGGTGTGTCAGTAAAAATACAGAAAATTACTTTTTATCGAATTTTATGATTTTGTCACGTCATCTTAACATTTTTGTTAATAAAAAAAAATAATAATAATATTTATTAATAATTAATGTCAATAAATAAATTAAATAAATAAATATTTATGTAAAATTAATTTTTTAAATAATTAAATATATTTATAAATAAACAAATATTTGTGAATAAACAATTGTTTATAAATAAACAAATATATTTATAAATAGATAATTATTTATAAATAAACAAATGAATTTATAAATAAATAATTATGTAAGTAATATTTAAAAATAATCAATATGTAAAATTGTAATATTGTAATGTTCTTGATATTTGGAATTATGAAAGACGATCTACAAACAAGGAAATCAACATACAGAGTCACCAACACATAGAAAAAAGCAATAAACACTTTTCGTGTCTGTGAGGTACCGATTATGAATCTAATCCAAAGAGGCGAGCTGGTACCGCCGCGAGAAATACATTGGAAAATATTAATATATAAAGGAAAACCTTTCACTACGAAGGCAGTCCCAAAAATTATACGTACGGAGTTCATGTATTAAAATACAGTTCTAATATATACGGAAGTCTAAGTTTCAACAGTGACACCCATCAATAAACGAAGAAAATTTGGAAACTCCACCACAACATAAAATAAAGTAACCTTACCAAATCTTATGAAATAGATTTCATAATTGCTTGATTGTCTTGTAATGATAATAATTAAGAACATTCAGCATTTTTAAATAAATAATTTGCATATTGTATTTTTTTTAAATCATTCATTTAATAATGATATTCCCAACTTCCCAACTTAGTTAATTTAGCTAAGTTAAATTGAGGAATTAGAATAGGGAACAATTATAAGTTCAGCTTAGGTAAAATTAAAAATTATTTAAATTTTTAACAAATATGACATAACAATTTATTAACGATATATCAAAGTTTAAGGTTTTAAAAAAATTTCAAGCATTAAAAATGGCTCAAACTGGATTTGGACTTTTTTTGTGGTCATTATCTGTTTCTCGAATAAGAAACCAACAAAAATATTTCTGTATTTTTACTAAAGTTTTTTATATCTTCTATATTTTTTGTTCAGTTTTGATCTGCAATGGCTTATTTTCTTCGTATGAGATCATACTTTAACGTCCAAAAAAAAAACCCGTAAGCAATGACGTTTTTTATGACGCAATTTACAAGGAAAGTCAATCGTTTTCTAAAAATTTGTTAAAAATAATGTGTAATTCTAGACAAATTCGTAAATATCTCATAAACCGTCAATCTGATTAAAAAATGTTATAAATTCGTTTTTATTGGAAATTTAATCACCTTTAATTGGCTTTAAAGAAAATTGAAATCGGCCAACTACATTCGGAGATATTTGCAAATTAGTGAACCCACTTTTTTTAAACTCAAAAAATTGAAATTTAGCTATATCTCGAAAACTGTTCTACTTTCTTAATATCTGACTTCATATTCGGATTCAGAAGAAAATTTTACATGAGAAATGACAGTGAAATTACGCAGGTCAAAATTTTTGTAAACTAGTGTTATATAAACATATAATTTTCATTATCATTTAATATGCAATAATATTCTAATAAATTTAAATTATTATTGATAATATTAATTTTAATTTCTTTATAACAAACAACCACATACCCAATTTGGCGCGCTTGCGCTCGTTTAAATTTGCTAGTATAATTTATAAAATTTTCAAATTATTTTCTTTCTTTAAAAACTACAGAGAAGAAAATTTTTCACCATTATCTGTTCTCTCTGGTGAAGCAGATCGTGGACCCCATATCCGCACTGTGCAATCGTCAGATACTGACGCCATCATTTGATGATAGACTGGATTCCAAGAGACACAATTTACAGTTCTGCTATGTCCTGTAAGTGTAGCAATTGGAGATTCTCGTCTTATGTGCCACACGTACACTTTATTATCTGCAAATTTATTTTAAGGTATGTTTCATCTTCATTTACATTTTTAAGTTTCTAAAAAGCATTTATGTTTTCGATAATAAAGACATTTAATTTAATTTCTTCACATTTTTGTTTCTAGAATTTTTTTTCTTCCTATCTGAAATACATACATACAAAAATATTCTTTCTATAAAATTGTTTTCAATTTAAATTTAAACACTTCTTACAAAGATGAAAAAACTATAACAAAATTCCATGTGCTAAAAATAAAATTCCATCAAATTAAATTATTTTCAGAAACGAAACATATATTTAAGGGGATCATCTTGATGTGTAAAAAAATATACATTGAAAATTGAAATCGTTAGAATAGCACACTCTCGATTTTATAGTTCAATAAAGTCTTACTCAGTTTTGCTAAGAAATCGTCTCGTTTTATTTAAAACTTGAACAAAATTAAAATTATTATCAGAATCACATATTATTTATAATTATATTATTATTTTGCTTTTGGTTTACTGGTACTTTTAAAAACATAACAAATATAATCGTAATAAAATTCGTTATAAAGTGAACCAGGAAAACAAAATTTTACTGAAAAATAATAAAATTGTAACGTTTTTCAGAGTTTTTGGAAAAACGCTGCTATTTTGTTATTTTTCAAGGGAAGATTAAATCTATATACCTACCAAAAACAGCTTGGGAAAATAAAAAAAAATCTCTTGTATTCTTAAAATGTGCAATCATAAATTGAGTCAGGTTTTGCCAAACGGATCGGGTAAAATTATAAATTTTTTTTTTCAATGTAATATTTTTTTTCTACTTAAAATTTTTTTGTTCAAGTTACTAACAATTGAAATATTTTTTTCTCGGGTTCTTTTTAACCGATTTTAAAAATCAAAGAAGCATTTTTTTCGTCTTGAAATGTAGAATTTAAAAATATTTTATGTTTTGAAAATTTTTTATTATTTTTAAAATTATTTGTTTATAAAATGTTCCTAAAAAACAGTCTTCTTCACGTTATATCTAAATAAAAAAATACCATCGTATTCTCCATACATTTTTGAGTAAGAAAGCATTGAGAAAAAAATGGCCCGCTACTGGGAATAACAATATCAAATAATATTTGCCGCGGTGCAAGCCGTTTAAGGCCCTCTCCAGCACAGCCGAGGCACTGTCATTGCATAAAGGGGGGACTATATAACATTAGTATCAGGTAAAAGGTGCAGATGTCGCTCTTGTAGATCACGGTTATGATCATGCGCAAATTTGAAAATTCAAATTATGCTTTTTTATTTTCATTATTATAATTGTTTTATTAATCATTTTTGTGTCTTTATGTAAACCACATATGAGAATACAAAAAATTATTAATAAAACAATAATAATCATGAAAATAAAAAAGCATAATTTGAATTTTCAAATTTGCACATGCGCATAATCGTGATCTACAACGGCGACATCTGCACCTTTTACCAGAAACTAAGGTTATATAGTCCCCCTTTTATACAATGACAGTGCCTCTGAGTGCCTCGGCTGTGCTCTCCAAAATGCCTTGACGCAAGGAAAACGCAATACAGACGTCACCCATTTTGAATAACATTGCGACATCACACATTTGAATTAGCATTGTGACGTCAGGACGTTACCCTACTGAAAATCCCTATACAAGATCTTGTACAATTTCCTGTACAGGATCAGCAACTGAACTTGTACAAGTTCTGACCAGTTCCTGTACAGGAAAATGCATACGAATTTGGAACAAGTTCATGTGTGAGATGTTGTACAAGATCTGGTGCAAGATCTTGTACAAGAAAATGTACATGTTCTTGCACATGTTAATTCGTGTTTTTCTTTACTAAAATTTAAAAACTTCAAAGGCTGCGCAATAGTTTACATTAACCTTTACAGCTGCGCAATAGTTTTTAGCATGCATGAGTTACGAATCTTAGTGGTTAAAAATTATCAAAATCTCAAATTTTATTAAAAAAAAAAAAATTTACAACTATACATGTGCAAGAACATGAACGTGTTCATGTACAAGTACTTATACATGAAATTGTACAAGATCATGTACATTTTCTTGTACAAATATCTTTCTTGTACAAGATCTTGCACCAGATCTTGTACAAGATCTCACACATGAACTTGTTCCAAATTCGTATGCATTTTCCTGTACAGGAACTGGTCAGAACTTGTACAAGTTCAGTTGCTGATCCTGTACAGGAAATTGTACAAGATCTTATACAGGGATTTTCAGTAGGGTGACGCTATAACGTACCGCGTAACGTGCCCATTCTAGACTTAAGGCGCATTCAGACCTTTCGGCTGCCTGCCTGCCTGCTGTAGTTACCATGGAAACATGATAAGAGTGAGTGAAGCAGAAAATTTAAATTTTTCGTCTGTTTCACTCACTCCCATTATGTTACCGTGGCAACTGCAGCAGGCAGGCAGCCGAGAGGTCTGAATGCGCCTTTAGTTTAAAATGGGTGACGTCACACGTTCACATTCACGTACACGTTTGCGCAGCCAATGTAGAGTCAGGTTAAGAGTGTCGGACGTGAACGCGATTGTGTACCCACGTCCGACGCACTATAGCACTGATGTTTTCACTGTGATCGAAATATATCAAGCGGGAGGTTTGACATCGAGGATGTGTTTGTACCACGGAGTAGTATAAAGACCCCCAACGACCACGTTAAATATGCGTTAAAAGTGAACCACTTTTCGGTACCCGCTAAACCTGAAAAAATACGGAATGGAACACTAGCGCCACTGATTGTATCCAACTCAGCTGCACAGTCAGCCATTGTAAAAGTTTTAAAAATAAGGAGCAATGTATTTTTGGGTTATGTTCAACGTACTTCCAATTTTTTCCACTGTTTACATACTTCCCACGAGAGCGCTTGTGTTCCATTCCGTATTTTCATGAAACTAAGCGGGTACCAAAATTTGGTCCATTTTCAATATACGTCGTTCGGTCTCCTTATACTACTCCATGGTTTGTACATTTGTGATAACTATCCAAATATACATTCACAACTCGATTGTCAATAAGCCGGCTGTGCTCGGGAGAAGTTTTCTGTAGTTTTCATCTCCCTTGGCCAAAAGTCTAGGCAAATGTGAGTGCTTCTAATAAAGTCTGTCTACAGCCGCAAATAGAGTTGTGAGATACCTTTGTAAGGTTTTAATAGTGTTGTATAAAAATTGTAAAGACTCCTGGGAGTATACAATGAAATCAGTATTATGTACCTTCACTTCCAGATGCGATAAAATCCTGATTGACGCCTCCAAAGCAACTGTGAATAGTAAAGTGACCTTGAGTTACTCCCCGAAAACGTCTAATTAAGCATCTGTCCTGTAAATCCCAAAGGTGCACTCCTTGATTAGCTACATTAAGTAGAGCTTGTCGATCGGCCTTGTTAACACTAAAAGACATCACAGGATGGTCTTCTTGCAATCTAATAATCAAAAATTCACCATTTGACTCAATTAAATATTTAACATTTTTTTCGATTACAATTATTTTTGAAATGAAAAAAACTTTCTCTGAAAAATAAACTTACATCGTAAAATCGCACAATTCATCAAAATTATAGGCTCTAATGCGATGGTGGGAATCAGCAGCAAGAACAGTTTTACCGTCACTTCTACACCACAGACCTTTAACTCGTACTCCTTCCCATGAATCCAAGACGTTTCCATCCATATCCTGAATAGAAGAAGTATGAAATATTTGTCTGAACCTTCACTTAACTATTAGAAATAAATAATTCATTGAGAAAAAAAACACGACTTACGCAGTGATAAAATTGACCGCGCATTCCTCCTGTAACAAACTTATTGGAATCACGATGCCAAGCGCAGGCTGTAAGGGAATCTTCGGTGCTTTGCGTTAATTTTACTCGAAGATCACAGTCTGGAGTGTCAATACTCCAAAGCCACAACTCTGGACAATCCTCGGGTCCGCAAGCTATAAGATGACTACTGTCTGGGCTCCAAGCTATTAACGCTACTCCATATGTATGACCTTCTAACGTTTTTCTGTGCGTCACCTTTAAAGTTTCCTGATAAGGACATTTTTTACATTATCAAACTGTGCAGTACAAATGCTATAAAGTCTTGTTAGATTCAGAATCAAAATTAATCATCAATTTTTAATAATGTTGAAAGGAGAAGGCCTAATGGCGTTATGATTGTGTTAATAAATTTTCATTTTTATTGTGCCCAACTATAGTTTCGAACAATTTGAACAAAAAACATATATAAAAATAAACACAAAAAAATATTTTACTACTTTTTAGAAATAATATTATAATGTAAGATAAAATGTTTATATAAATATACGGCTCATTTCATTTAAATTGTCATATTCGTGTCCCTTGCCAAAAAAAATTATTTGATATAACCTTAGTTGAAATTAATTTGTTTATATAGTAAAAAGCAATAATTTTCAATAATTTTTCTACTTACAAGGACATAAAAGTGATTTTCATAATATTGGCAGAACAAAAAGCAGGCAAAATGTCATAAGTGTAATGCGCCCCCGGAGACATTTTCAATGTTCAAATGAATGAAATATCGAAAATATACACTACCGTCCGAAATTGTGCGAACTCTGTTTTTTCTACAACTATAAAACTGTTCAAATCTTCAAGAATATTAAAACTAAAATTTTTTCCTCTCTATTTTATTAAAGCTAATAAAATTCTGAAAGGAATGACACCTTGACAAAGAGAATATGTTAATTTTTCAATTAGATATCTAAGAAAAACCCAATTTTCAATGTTTTTACTATTTTTTTTATTTCTCTGGCAAAAATTAATATTTTTAAACGTTCTTAGGCTCATTGAAATCGTATTTTGTTATGCAATTCAAATTATATAAAACAATTTATGTACATATTCTTCCCTAGCGTATGCAAACCGTGAAAGTTGGCTCATAAAATGTCAAAAAATTTAAATTTAATTCTACAATAAAATATAATGTTTAAAAATCAAGTAAATATATCATTCTAAACTTCTCTGATTTATGTGAGTAAATTTAAGATTTATACATTTTACTGATCATTTTTTGTCATATAAATATTAATCACAATTTTTTGACATTTTATGAGCCAACTTTCACGGTTTGCATACGCTAGGGAGGAATGTGTACATGAATTGTTTTATATAATTTGAATTGCATAACAAAATACGATTTCAATGAGCCTAAGAACGTTTAAAAACATTAATTTTTGCCAGAGAAATAAAAAAAATAGTAAAAACATTGAAAATTGGGTTTTTCTTAGATATCTAATTGAAAAATTAACATATTCTCTTTGTCAAGGTGTCATTCCTTTCAGAATTTTATTAACGTTAATAAAATAAAGAGGAAAAAATTTTAGTTTTAATATTTTTGAAGATATGAACAGTTTTATAGTTGTTGAAAAAGCAGAGTTCGCACAATTTCGGACGGTAGTGTAGTGTTTAAATCAGATTAAAAAAATGTTTCGTGAAGTATTAGTTGTATATTTAAAGAGAATTTAGTGTTGGTAATTAATTTTTATTTTATACAATTTCCAAAAAATGAAAATGACGTGTCCCTCACTTTTGTATTTTTACGTTTTGCCGGCAGAATTTCCTACTTTTACCTGCTATTTAAATTACCTTATGAGCAAAAAAATTTCTTTACCATCGCATAAGCAGCAGAACACAACAACGAAGTGTGTAAAAAAAACGATATAAGTATAAATCTGCTCGTTCACGGAAAGAAAGTTTGTAGCAATATTTGATATTATGGTGTTACTTTTTAGTATATTTGGTTACAATTGCGGAACATTTTGGCATGATAACGATTTTCGATACTATTTTTAAGAATGATTGAGATTAAAATAAGAATATTTAATATAGTTGGAAAGAAAATTTGATATAATATTTACGAAATCTGAAATCTTTTTATTGAAACACAAAAATGTCAAATTTTAATAAGCTCTTTATCAATTTTTCTAACCAAATATTTCAAATTTCGTAATTAGAATTGTATAAAATGATATAATTATTTCAGATTTTGATATATTTGATATGAAAATTGAAAAAGAAATATCAAAGTTAACGAGATTCGACGAAATTTGCCGAAGTTGAACGTTCGGAATTGCCCGATCGTCACCGAGTGGTAACGAAGACTGACGAAGCTCTTTAGACAAGCCCCTTTTTACTATTATCTTGATACAGACCTGAATTTCTTTTATATAATTAATTTCGAATATTTTACAATAAATCAGTAAAAAAAATTGTTCTTCAAAAAATAATAAAATATTTAATTATTTCCCAATAAATAATGATTTTTATTTATATTTTTAAACATGTTTTGATATAATTTCACCTTACTCATAAGCGGTGAAAAATATGTCTGGTTAGTATATAAGAATGGTCACATCAGTTTTTCACATGAGCGTAAATTTGTATATGAAGCGTTATCCTGCGAATGTTATACGTATTATCGTTAGTATAGGTTAGGAATAAAAATAAGCCAATCGATGTAAAACAATGCGGTGTATGTGTGTGTGTGCATTTAAAAGTTCATATCCTCGTCTATCCTCGAGATGAGAAAGAGATAAAACTTTGGCGTAGAATCTATTGGTGTTTCTGTCGTCATCTGTCACGACTGAACCACTTCGAATTTTTAGTATAGTTTTAACAAATTTCGAAATAATCTTTCCAAATTTTCATATAAATTTATCAATTTACGAAATAATAATTTCAATTTCTGGAATATATTTACTAAAAAGACTATTGGTAAAAATATACCGATTTTCGTTATCAAACCCAAATGTTCCGCGTTTGAAAAAGAGAATACTAAAATTTCCTATCAGATTTATCAAATATTGCTACTAAATTTCTTTCCGTGTTTGTCATGGAGGCAGAAAAAGAAGAAACACTTTCGTAATTGAATTTCTGTCAACAGTGTAACGCCTTGAAAATGGTTTGAAAATATTTTGAATTTTATATCGGTATGGAATTTAATTTATTTTTGGATTCTCTTTCGACTGAGACCAACCCCGTCGATATAAGTATAACCGTTTTCATTTTAAAAGCGAAAAACGAGCAAAATGTCAACAGTGTAATGGTCATAAGTGTAATGCAAATTTGTATATATGGCTTCAGTAAACGTAATAAATCACAAAGGCCTACAAAATAAAACTTTTTTCTTTTATCTTGATATCAGAATGGTTTCTAATGTACTTTTGGGAGCTGAACACGATCCCGGATCTTAAAATTGCCTAGCATGTCAGGATTTTGAAAAAAGTGGGGGTAAAAACCCCCAAGAAACATGTTTTTATGGGTGTTTAAAATGATTTTTCTCTTTAACCTGACGTGGTAAAAACTTCAAAAAAGTTTTAAATTATAGCATAAATCGTGTACTACATGACCAGTACACGCAACCCTCCCCCCTAATTTTTTCCATAAAATGGGGTTATAACCCACCCCCAAAATTTTTTTATCTTAATTCTTTCGGCGAAATGAATAGATTTTTATTTGTTTTATGTTCATAATGTTTAAGGACATAAATTTTGCATTTTGCCTATATAATTTTTAACCCCTTCGCAGTCCAGTTAAAAATCACTTATAGGCCTAATAAGGTTCCAAACAGAGCTTTCAAAAAAATTTAATTTCATCGTATTTAAGATTTTTGGGTTCATCTGTCGTCAAATTCGAATTCAGCGACCCCGAAAACCCCCGAGAAACAAATTTCGACCGAATCGCATCAGTCTTGAAATTATCCGCCATATTGGGTCGGCATATTGGATCCACCATTTTAAATTTTGAAAATCTGACGTCATATTTGTAATTAGCAACCCAAAAAACCCCTAAGTAACGAGCTTCAAGCGAATCGAATCAACTTTTCTGGAAGCTGAATATGAATTATAGTCGAGGTTTAAAATTCGGGTAAATTTATTTTTTCTTATTCTTTATAAAAAATAAGAGATACGTTTTTTTTAATCGAAAAAAATTTTTGAGTTACGAATTTTCAAAATTTTGTTGAGTCAAAAGCAGATTTATTTTCAATTAAGAATAGCTCAAAAACTATTGTATTTAGAAAAATTTTGTTAAGACATGAAAAATTTGTTATTTCTTCAACTTTAAAAAAATGTTAACAAAAAAAAATTCAGAAATTTTTTATGAAAAATACTAGTTTTTTTTATAAACAAATTAACTTTTTTTACATTTGTAGATGGGGGAACTCGGTAGCGCGGATAGACACCCGCCACAAAACTGAAATCGTCCGTTCAAATTTACAAAAGTTGTTGTAAGTCCGTTAATTATTAACCGATTTTAATCTTTATTGTTTTATTTTTATGGTATTTTTTCATCTCTTTTCAAAAATGGAATTATATTTTTAATAAAAATTTTTTTTTATCATTATTTAAACAATTTTTTTTTAATAACAAAATTTTTTCATTAATTCAAATAGTTTTATAATTTTTTTTAATTGCATATAATATTAAGTCTTTTGATGTTATTTTATTTTTAAAAATTATTAAAATTATTTATACACATTCGTGTAGCACTATGTACAATTTTCATGTTGTACAAAATTATATTTTATTGTAGATTACTTGTAATTTTCTTGCTTTTTAAATGTATCTAACACAAATTACTTGGTGCTACAAAAAAATTTTTTTTTAATATACTTCTTATGAAGTTGTAGGTAAAAAAACTAAGAAGAATGGTGTATATATAAAATTCTCCAAACACCCACAATTTTTATTTTAGAGCCAGAAAACCATTTTTACGTATGTTCATACATAAAAACTTTTGTAACTTCCTTATTTCTGCACCGATTTGAAATTTTTTTTTCATTTTAAAACTGAGAAACAAAGCTTTTTAGCCCATATTCGATATTTTTGTTTAAATTAATATTTATAAGAGAAAAATTACAAAAATGTTCATTTTTCTCGCAATTTTTCAACTTTAACTGATGTTTTCATCGTTAATTTTAATTTAAACATTTTTTTCTTCTAGCGCTATTAAATTCTGCGTCCAACCAGCCCTATCTCAATAGATTTTGTAAAAAATTAACTGCA